CAGATTTCCCACCTTCTTAACACTGTTACAGTGGGCATCAAGTTTCCAACACATGAACTTTTGAGGGACACATTTGACCCATAGCAGTGATGAATTAATTATAGTGAGGGAGAAAGTGGGAAATGTCAGGGACGATACCAAGATTTATGATTTAAGCAACAGAACAAGACAGTTGAGCTTTTACTGGGAGGTCATGGATTAAAAGCAGGTTTTAGATAAGGAGGTAAACAGTTTAATTTTAAATTGAGTTTGAGGAGTCTCTGAGACAACCAATGGAAAGTAGTTATACACAATAATCTGAAGAGAAGAAAGGCTAGGGCTCCAGGTGACCCTACGAAGGAATCCCTGCCTATTATTCTCTGTCATACCATACGTCACACCATTCCTTTCTACTACTTATCACCATCTGCAATTATTTTCTCTCTCTCCATGCAAAATGTAAGCCTACCATGACAGATTCTTTGCTTGACTGTTCACTATAGTATTCTCAACACTTGGCACATAGTAGGTATTCCATAAACAATTGACCAATGAATGAATAAGACACAGCATTGGACAATCATATCACAAAAATCTTTGACAAACAGGAACTCAAATTCTCCTTGTACATATCCAGTGTCAAGGAATGCACTATCATAAAGCAATCTTTTTTTTTTTTTTTTTAAGCAGCTTTCTTTAAAAACCCTTCTTTTATGTTCAATTGCAAACAACTTGTTTGAAACATCACCTGTTGGTGCAGGTGGGCTATCTGGTCCTCCTATAAGAAGGTTAATGTTGCCTTTTTACCTTCAGTTCCTTTAAACCACCAGGCTTAGATGCATGTCAGTTTGTCAGTGCCTTTGACATGTTGCATCTGAAGGTGATCCTCCAACCCCCACTCACTTACACATGCACTGGAGTCACAGTGTGTGGAGTAGGACTAGCAGCTTCCTTGTTTTAACAAGTGTATTTTCACCAAAAACAGCCCAAACTCTATTAAGCTTTTCCACTAGCTTCTCAATGATTTACAGTCAATTAAAACACTGTTAAAATATATAATGTTTCGGTATATCAAAATATTTGTGAAGATTTAAGGGCACTCCAGGCATTTTCTTGGAATTTGGAAAACAATGACCCAGATTCATTTTCATATGCTTACTCCAAAAAGTATCATTTTCTAAAATTCAGCAATCCACACCGAATTTCATCTTTGTCATACTTTTTTATAACCCCTTTAGGAAATCTATACCAAGGAAATAATCTACAAAGTTTTATTTTTAAGAAGTCAAATTTAATGTTACTTATAAAAATGTAAAAACTAGAAACAAAGTATCCAAGTAAAAGGATAATGGCTAAGTCAATATGATACATCCACTAGTAAAAGGATATCAGCTAGGTCAATAATAGTAAATAAAAAAATCAAAAAATGGTCATTAGTAAATCCATCCCATATTATAATTAGAGTAATACTATGAGAAAATGCTTATAAAATAAATGGGGGAAAGCAGGATACAACATCCTCCATATAGGATGATTACAAATAGACTCGGAAGAAAATAGACTAAAATAATATTAATTTCATCTGAGTGCTCCTTATAATTTTCCCAAAATTTTAATGAATGCAAATTTCATAGTTAAAATTGATTAATTCATAATGATATAAAATTGACTTTCTTTTTTCCTCTGACTCTGGTTTTACACTCATTAAGGAGATTAAAACCCTTTTTTGTTTCACAAATGAATCGAGAGGCATTTTCCTATATAACTAGAAATAAGTTGGAAAGAAGGAAGAGATTTAAAGAAAGAGTCGATAATCAAAGTTATAAAAATTGAAAAAGCCAAACAAGTCCCTTAAATTTCCATGCATTCCTTGATTAGAACTGCAAGTGAAGGGTAAAGAGGTAAAAAGAAGTATATTCATATGAGAAAAACACTGCCTGAAATGGAAACCCGTAAGTTTCAATGACAAAAAGAATTGTGGATAGAGAACAAAGGCTGTAAACAAATTCCTCTGAAGGAAAAGAAAGAATAGTTGCAATTGGTGACTTGCACATACATGATTTTCACACATTTGTTTAGTGACAGGATCAAAAACTTAGTTTAGGATAATTTTTCTAAATTATAATTAAGACATGAATTTCTTACTTAAGTAAAATGTGTGAAGTCCATAAATAATAATTTCATAAGCTTTTAAATATGAGAGAATTAGAAATGGGGTTGTAATGATTAAATCATGTTTTAAAATTAATCCATCTGCTGGAAGGTATTAAAGCAAGAAATTTATTTGTATCCCTAGCCATTTCTCATATCAACCTAAAAATTCCAATTAAGAAGAAAATGTGAGAAATAGTAACTCATGTAATTAGACATGTTTTGAAAATTGGGCTAATTATATCCATCAATCAACATCGTTTGAATGAAAAGAAATAATGGATAGAAAGTGTCTAGTACAGTGCCTGGCACATGACAGAAACGGCAGCTCTTATTGATAGTAACAATCTGCATTACTTTAAGTTCTGTGATTAAATTATATGTTTAATGTCATTCATATTGTCCTACCATGATACAATTTTACACACACGTAAAGACTACTTATCAGACTAAATAATATGCCAATATTAAAGGATCGGCTGAAGATTCATTCTCTTGATAAAAATAAGCAGGATGAATACAAAGACATATATACTTTCTAGACGTGTAAAAGATCACAGAGAGAATACCTACTAAACTTTCCTCTCATTTTATAGATGAGAAAACTGAAGTCCCAAAGGATTGGGTTGTCCAATGTTCTATCCCTAATTGATAGCAGAACCTATTTAAAACGGAAACACCTGACTTTAGAGCTTAGTTTTCTGTAATTAAATTGAGAATTCAAATGTATAATATCGATTAATGAGAACTTGGAAAGCAAACAAAAGACACTTTACTTCTTACACTATTAAAACTGCTAACATTATGCTTCAGGAAGGATCCACTGGCTATAATGATGTTTCATGGGGGAAAGCAGGATACAACGTCCTCCATGTTCATAATCAAATAAATATGATTATTCAGGTTGAGAGAATCTCATGGGTTGAGCAGTGAAACAAATTAATAAATATAAATCTCCCAACAGATCTTCCCTTTATAGATATGGTCATAGAAAACTAGAAGTTGTCAGTGGCTTAGAAGCATTTAGAGAAAGTAGAGAGAGAGAGAGAGAGAAACGGAGAGAGGGAGGGAGTGTGGGAAGGAGAATCATTGCTAATGCATGATGCAATCTACCCCAAAGAGGGAAATAATGTGAAAAGCCTGAGAGGTAACAAAAACAGCAAAAAATAGCCAAGGCAGAAATAAACATACTTTATAAATAGATGAGTGGATAGGGGTTATGTGCATACATGTATGTGTGCAAAAAAATAACATTATAAGGTAGTAAGGCAGTTCCATAAAAAGTCAAACAGAGCTAATATTTGAGTCAGCGATTCTACACCTAGGCATATACCCAAGAGATATTAAAACATATGTACACCCCAAAACTAGTAAATAATGTTCATAGCATTATTATTCATAACAGGCAAAAGGTGGAAACAACCCAAATGTCCTTCAACTGATAAATGGATAAACAAAATGTGGTATACGTACAATGGAATATTATTCAGCCATAAAAAGGAATGAGGTGTCAATTCATGGTACAACATGGACAAATCTTAAAAACTTTACACTAAGTCAAGAAGCCAGTCACAAAAGTCCACATATTACATGATTCCATTTATATGAAATGTCCATGATAGGAAAATCTACAGAGACAGAAAGTAGATAAGTGATAGCCTAAGGTTAGGGGGAAATGGGGAGATTCTTGGATGATAGCTAAAGGGTACAGGGTTTCTTTTTGGGGTAATGAAAAGTTCAAAATCGACTATGGTTATGGTTGCATTACTCTGTGAATATATTAAAAACCACTGAACTGTACACCTTTAATGGGTGAATTATATGATATGTGAATTAGATTGCAATAAAGTTGTCACCAAAAATATAAACAAAACAAAAACAAGGCGAATAACTTTGGAAATGCAAGTCTGAAATGAAAAAAAGAACCCTGCAGAAATAAAATCAGAAAAGAGGTAAGAGAAAGTGCCTGTCTGAGGTATCTAAAAGACGGAGTAAGGAAGAAAGACAAGGATGGGGCAGAAACAAGAAAGAATAAATAGCAGGTAGCCGGTGATAAATAGCTATACATTTTCGAATGTTCAGAAAAGTGAATTGCAACACCAAGGCCCATGGTTTGATCCCTGTACCAGTCAGCCACTTAAAAAAAAAAGAAAAGAAAAAGAACTTGCTTTTAATATACAGTCTACATTACACTGGTAAAACTTTGTGTTTAAAATTTGCTAAATGCTGTGGCAAACATTCATTTCATCAATTACCTATTTCGTGTGATAAAATTTCCATCGCATGGGAAAATGGCATAATTATAATTATGACTAACTCATTTTTGTATGCCTTGCAGCACTTAGCTTAATACCTTATACACAGTAGGCACTCAATAAATATTTGATGAACATAACTAACCATCATAGCCAGAACTTGAGGCTCTGTAATTACAAAACATAACTGAGGCCTAATTTCAGTTATTAAAAAAAAAGCAGAACATTATGCCACATTTAAAACATTTTAATGGACCTTTAAATGAAAATTTTTAATGTAGTTAACAACTAAAATACACACAAGCATAATTTAGTAATTTAACATGTAAGTAAAAAGATCCATCAGAAAGATAAGGACATTTTGGGAAATGCTTAGAAAATGTTCTGATTTAGGGCCGGCCCGGTGGCGCACTCGGTAGAGTGCGGTGCTTGGGAGTGTGGCGGCGCTCCCGCCGAGGGTTCGGATCCCATATAGAGACCGGTCCACTCACTGGTTGAGCGCGGTGCGGGCACGACACCAAGGGTTGCGATCCTGTTGCTGGTCACAGTATGGGTGTGACACCAAGGGTTGCGATCCCGTTACCGGTCACAAAAAAAAGACAAAAAGGAAAAAAAAAAAAGAAAATGTTCTGATTTTATTCATAGTATATACACCACAAAACAGACATTTTCCATTATTTTGGTGACTTCAAAATTTAAAATCTGCGTGTTTTAATTGAGTTATTTCATGACAGATGCTGAATTTTGACCTGTTTTTTCCTTGACAATATCTATACACTACCCAACTACATGATACAATTATGTTTTTAGCATTAAAATTTAAAAGACTATGGCTCAGTGTTTAAAAAATAAATTAATACAATAAAAGAGAAACATTATTGCAAGAAAATGAAAACACACTGACCGCATGATAAGCGATCACTCCTTAAAAATCAGTAAGTGGTGTGAGCATTTTTCACTTAACCTACTTGGAACCACGATAATACCAATATACAAATAAAATGAACATACAGTCTGGAATGATACAGTGGTTATCACTAATTAGTTGCTAGTTGACAATACACATAAAAATGAATGTAAGAACAAATTAAAAAAAACTTGTTTTTAGCTTAATTGTTGGTGCAGAATGTATGGTAGGGGCTGGCTGCCTGGCAGCTGCTTTAGCTTTGCTAGCTTGGCTTGCTCGAACAGCAGTTTCTAAACGTACTTTCAACTCAGGAGCAGCCCCCATTACTGTCTTGAAAGCATGTGGATACAGAGGTCCAATATGCATTAAATTCTGGAGTGCAAACTCATGAAGATCTTTGGAAGCTGAACTTGCTGAGGCAAAAGAATTTTCATCCAGCAGGTAAGAGATCAAAGTGGGAACTAAAAGAGCAAGTAATTGGACTCCTGTAAATAGCAAAGATAAAATATGAAGAATGATCAGGAACCTGAAGATTACAAGAAATTTTAATTTAAAAACTAGGCAATTACCATAGAAGACTGAATTATAATAAAATACAAGTAAACATGCACAACATATTTTAGACTTCAACAGCAACTCAAAATTCATATTCAATATTTACTAAATGCTCAATCTATGTTAGGGTTAGAAACCAGGTTTGTTAAGATGGTTTATTTTACATTTACATTAATTTGGTTTATTAAATAAATACTTGCCAAAAGGTCAAAAAGGAATAAAACACTTTACAATTGCCATCTGGTAGAATGTACTCTGAGAGTAAGATTATAAAATACTCAAGGCATTCTAGAATCAGGAGGTCGGAGTAGGAAACAGAATCCTGAGTAGCATCTATTTACCATTATTTAACTAAAACTAGATATGTTTTTTAAAAAATAGAAATACAACTCTTATTCCATTTCATCATTCCCCAAAACCCACAATGAGAAGAAATTCCTCAAAAATAATGGAACACGTAAACCTTAAAGTTAAAAAAGAAGAACCCATGTTTGGCTGACATAAATTCCCAGCTTTTAAAAAATGATTTCTTTGGAAGCTTCATCTCCTTTTGCTAGTCTTTGTATTTCCATATTAACAACTCCATCCTGGCAAATAAATTTCATTAAAGCTGATATTTTTCTAAACAATTAACCTTTATATGTAATTACGTATGTGTATATGTGTATATATAAAATCTCTTATAATCAACATTGAGAATAATGATTTTTTCTCCTTAATTTATGTTAATTTTAGTAGAATGACAATAAATAGGATCAAAGCTATAAGGGAGCAGGAAGTATCTGATAAAGAATATGGGATATAACACACACTGATGTCATCAAGGACAGTGATAATAATCAGTAAATCCTTTCCAGAACCCCAATCCCACCCTGAACATGTACTTCCTGTCCTCTTCCCCTGCTGTACTTTTCCTTGATAGCGCTTATTAATTTCTATATCTCACTACTATACCTATATCTAAAATTGATAAAGTTATATCCATTTTCACCTCTATATAAAATTGTATGTGGATATATGTCTGTATATATCTCTATATAATGTAGATACAGAAGTATCAATGGGTGGGTGTGGTGGGGCTTTTTGCCTGTGTTTTCCTACCAGAATGCAAGCTCCATGAGATCAGGGACTTTTGAATGTTTTATTTCATGGTGAATCCCCAATGCCTAGAACACTACCTGGCACACAGTAGGCATTCAATAACTATTTTTTAAATGAATAAACAAACACACTCTTTCCCCTGGAAGCCACCAAGAAGTTTTCAATTAATGGATTCTTTTTTTCCCATATTAGATTTTCAGAAGAAAGAAAGTAACAGCTGATATTTTAAAAGTCCCAAGTAAATCCTCCAATTTGCTAGATTTAGCTCAGTTTCCCTCATATAGAATGATAATAGCATTGTATAATAAGAACTGGCTTTCATAATGCAAATACAGTAAAGAATTGTCAAATAAATATAAAATTATCTTCAGTGTATTGGCTTACTGAAAAAGGTTCTCAACAGCAGGTTGAAAATTTTGGTTTTAACAGTTTTAAAACATAACTAATTGGAAAAGTATATTATGAATTATTTAAGGACCCAGTAATTATCCAGAAATGTGCTAAGACTTATAGGAAATATGTTATATAATTCATCTCTACCTAATGCTTTTATTACCTAGTTGACAGGAGTAGAGAGCACAGAGAACAACGAGAGAACTAAGTGCTAAAAATCTCATCAGCCTTTGAGTATAGAGTTCATCAAGAGACTCGGAAAGCCACGTAATAATTTGGGATTTCATAGTTTAGTGATTATTACAAGGCCATAAAATAAGATGGGTGGTTATAACCACCAAATAAATTCTATGAAGGTTAAGGTAAGATTGGGCTGCATAAGAGGACATTTCTTGAAGAAATGAGATCTGACATAGGTTTAGTAGATTTGTATTAAAAAAAAAAGGAGGAGAAGAAAACATCTGAGGAAATTTAAAATAGTATGACAATGCATAACAATTAAAATGAGCAAAGTGAGGAAATTAGTATGGCCAGGTTAGTAGGTACACACTGGGGAGCAGAATTAAAGTTTTGAGAACCAAGTAAAGATGTTCTAAATTGATGCTGTAATGGAAGAGGAAACTTCAAAATTCTTAAGCAAGGGAGAGATAAAATTGCTTTAGGTAAATCTGATGAGAAATACCAGCTAAGAAACTATCAGTTACCTATTTATGAGGTGATTAGATGTAAAACTAAGAAGTAAGTTTCTCTTGAATCCTAGAGAAGTTTCAAAAAGAGACAGGACAAGATTTGAGTAATAGACTGAATAAAAATGAAGAACAAGGAGTCAAATATAATTCCAATGTTTTTAGCTTGTAACCTTGGTCATATAGGGTAAGAAAACATCCACTGCCTATTTCTTACAATGGATACTGTGAAACTGAAAATAATAACTAACATTTGTAAATGAGGTGAAAAAAGCTGAATGATAAAACAAATTCAAAAGCTGAAAACTTACCTTCTTGGAATCATTTAACTATACAAAACGGGTAAGAAAACATCCACTGCCTATTTCTTACAATGGATACTGTGAAACTGAAAATAATAACATTTGTAAATGAGGTGAAAAAAGCTGAATGATAAAACAAATTCAAAAGCTGAAAACTTACCTTCTTGGAATCATTTAACTATACAAAATATAAAGGTAAGTATAAAAATGTTGCCATCAAATTAATATCATATACATTCACTCTTTCATTCATTTATTTGATGGTATCCTCCTAATGAATGCTATAATAATTCATTAACAGGATTCATTTACCTTTGGTTTTTGCATAGTTTTTAGCCTTATATTTAGTTTAAATTCTTAAAATAGACCAACTACTTATCCTACTTCTTAAGTCTTGCTATAGCACAAAACATATTGTTATCTGAGCAAAGCAGTACATTAAAAAATGAAGAAACCATGATGGTGCTTATTGTTGATATATCTCACTAATAATACGACAAATTAGTCTGGTTGAGAGTTGAAATTACAGTGCTTTGGTTATTTTATACCTTAAATAAATGCCTTCTTATTTGGAAAAGGGTCATTAATTTCAGGGACATTGCTAAAGCCTAATTAGCTATTAAACTATATTTAATTACATGAATAATACAAAAAAATTCTAACTATTAAAAAATCAAACAATACAGAATTAAAAAAAAAAAAAGATTCCCTGTCCTCATGCAAAGTTTAATTCTAAACTACGGCACCTGTTCAGGAACCAATCCCAAGAGTTGACTCAACTTAAAAATATTCTAAATACTAAGAGGCAATAAGCTCACTGCTGAAATTACACAATGAATAAGATTTAGTTTTCATCTTTATGGAGTTTACAGTTAGTAAAATAAAAATACAAATAAAATTATGTTGCTTTGCCAAACATAGGCCATGATATCAGTCATAAATTTCCATCCAAATAACCTATATATTAATATGTTACTAATTTCAACTATATTTATCAACTTCTCCAAATAGCCCTTTCTGCTTGACCTTCCTAATTTTGACACTGCTTGCATGCAAGACAGTAATAATTGCCTCTTCTCTTTCTCTTGCCCCCGATAACCAGTTAATCGTCAAATCAGATCAATTTTTCTTTCACAATCACCTCTGCATTTTATTCTTCTATTGACATAGTTCTGTATTATTATTTTATAGGGGAACTATTGCAATAGCTTTTCAAAAATATCTACTACCTTTCCAATTTCATGTGAAATTTTTTCAAGAGAAGAAGAAAAAATTATGATAGGAAAAATTGGTAAAATTTTTATCTGGAGAGCAATCTAGCAACAAGCCCTAGAAATGAGTATTCCTTCACCCCAATAATTTCACTTTTACGAATTTATCTGACAAAAATAATAAAAAATATGTACAAAGACATTCTGTACAAGGATATTCATCTAGTTATTTATAATCTTGAACAATGGGATACAGCTTAATATTCCTAATTAAAAGACATTAGTTTAAAATGTATAGTCTTTCTACAACAATCAAAAATCATATTTTTAAAGATAAATATATTGTGATAAAACCAAGACTTTAGCATTAAGAGAATAAATAAAAGTATATAGTAAGCTGCATAAGTCTGGTTGAATGGATGTATGAGACAGTTTTTAATCAAATAAAAAAAAAATTTTAAAACATCAAATTTAATAATGATGTTTAATACCAATGTTCATATGGTTATATTTGTTATAAAACTTTTATACCTCTATTATGAAGACTGGAATATGTTATTTTAAAAAATCTATCAAATATCTACATATTTCCTAGTTCTTAAAGGATACATTCCTAGAAAATTAAAAAATTAGTGTGTTGAAATGCTGTCAGTAATTCTTTTTAACTTTCTGCTCATAAAAAAACAAATATAAAATCAACTCAATGCATCATGTTAGTAACATAAGCAAATACATTACGCTTTCAGATAGTAATTGCTTCTTAGTAAACTCAGTATTGCCAAGGCCTGTGTCTAAAATCAAATAAGATTTATATATAAATCAGATCTTCATTTTGACTACTGGCTTTTTATAAGAAAATACTTACTGTTCTGTTCTTCCCCAAGAGCAACCAATGTTTCAAGAACTTTGATTCCTTCTTGAACAGCTAAAAGTTCTGTGTTACTGGCTGGTCTGTTTCTTTCAACAGCTTTTAGCTTTTCAACCACTACTGGAGCTAATGAATGGATATAGGGAGTTGCAAGGGCACGATTGGAATGTTGGAAGACTGAGAGGAGAAGCTGGTAACATTTGGCTTGAACCTATTTAAGAAAATCATTTAATCAATTAATGTATGATAGTTCTTATTTGCTCTACAATGACATTGCATCTTAATATGTACTGAAAAGAAGTTATATTGCAAGATGAAAATACAATGCCATTTTCTGCATAGAGAAATGAAGTAGAATAATGGAACCTTCAATAAGCTAACTAAATAAACTGAAAATAATAAAAAATATTCCTTACATGTTAATTACCATATCAATATGCTTACATAATTTGTATATTTCCATAGTGTGGAAGAATCTAGAAACCAGGAATTCTAATTTCTATTTTTAATTCTTCCTTTAATGTACAATTGTCTCTCCCATTTTAATCTAATATATTTAATAAGGAAGGATAATATTTGAGTGATTTAAAACAAAGCTATAAAAATACATTGCTTAGATACTTCAAACCCACTTGATTCTCTGGAAATTGCTTATACCAACTTAAGTTTTCTAGACATAGAAAGTAAAGTCTCACTGGCTCCATCTTAGATTTGAAAGACTTCATGTTAAAAATTTAGAAAGGGCCGGCCCAGTGGTGCACTCGGTAGAGTGCGGCGCTTGAGAGCACGGCGGCGCTCCCGCCGAGGGTTCGGATCCCATATAGAGACCGGTCCACTCACTGGTTGAGCGTGGTGCGGGCGCGACACTGAGGGTTGCGATCCTATTACCGGTCACGAAAAAAGACAAAAAGGAAAAAAAAAAGAAAGAAAGAAGAAAGAAAGGCCTATCAATATATGGGACAAATAATGGAATAAAACTGTTTTAGTGCTTTGGTAGAATACAAGTTGCCTAGCCTTGCTGGACATCAGAAATGCCTGAGGAACATTTCAGAAAAACAGATCCCTGAGCCACAAATCTGGAGACTCTGATTCAGGAAATAGTAGTAGAATCTAGGAATGTTTCTAACTGCTTTTTTTTTTCCCTCTGTGCAGCAGGTTTGAGAATCAATTGTTAGTTTAGACTTTGACATTGTAAAACAATAAAATTTATTTTCTAGACAAACAAGAGTTTCCAATAGGTTCATTAAACCAAGTAATAATGTAAATTTATCCTTGAATGTCCTTGGTGTTAGTTAAAAAAACAT